CTCCACCCTCGTGTTCTCTTTTTCTCATCTGCCTGTATGTTGTATGTAACAGGTCTCTTGTAAATGAGTCTTCGAGGCTAAATGGGAACTAACCTGTATAAATAAAGATATGATAATAATAATAGAGTATTATTAGAGTACCCGGAGAAAACCCATGCATAATTATAACATTATTTTTATTATGCGTGGGTTTTCTCCGGGTGCTCCGGTTTCCTCCCACAGACCAAAAACATGCATGTTAGGCTGATTGGTAACTCTAAATTGTCCCTGGGTGTGAATGAAAGCATGAATGGTTGTTTGTCTCATTTGTCTCTGTGTCCCTGTGATGGACTAGAGATCTGTCCAGGGTGTCCCCCCACCTCTCGCATGGTGACATCTGGACATGGGCACCAGTGACCCCTGTGACCAAGAAAGGAAGAAGTGGGTAAAGATAATGGTTGAATGGATGATGGATATTAAGGACTATTATGCACATAAATCATGTTGATTCATGTATTTGTTGTCCACAGTTAAAAGAAAACTGCAAGTTTTATCTCGTTTTATATATTCCAATTGCTGGCTAAAGACCAAGCAATCTGATGCTACATGGACCACGTCACTGTTGAGCATTTCAAAATGTCTGTTGTCATGCAGTTGGAGGCTACTATCTATAACCTATAGATGCAGGATGTAGATGATTTTGGTGGGATTAAACATCCAATGGGCACAGCCATCTGTACCGATCTTGGTGAATGTGATCAAGATGGAGGTTGATGGAACTGGCTGTGCAATTTTGGGCAATTGTTTACAATTCAGTGATCTCTAAAAGCAACATTTTAGGTGAACAGCTAGTTTTTATAGCATCTTTGTTGAATACATGAAAATATTGGATATAGTTTTAGATTAAATTGGAGCATCTCAGCATTTTATTTATTTATTTTTTTATTCTTTTGGTTTTGAAAAGATCAAGACATTCACAGCGAGGCTCTACTGTGATTTTTAGGTTTTCAGTTATAAATTAATGATAGTTCCTTATAAACCAGTTGCAGGAGAGGAGATAGGTACAAAGTTTGATAAGCCTGGATAAGTGGTGTTTTTCTCTTTCAGAATTCATCATTGTTCTTCTGCTCTTTGTGTTTAGCTTAGATTTTGGGTTAAATTATGTAGATTATGATGGCCATTCCACACCACTGAAACAGCTGTGCTCTTTAAAACGGACTTAACTTTTAATCATTGGCAGAAATAATTATGGAGACAGTAAGACCCATCTGTTTGTTTTTTATGAATTCACCATAAAAACTGTTTAGCAGAAATTCCAGTAATTGAGACAATTTAGTGCAACATAGTATGTCTGCCTTAAGATAACGAGAGAAAGATTTCATAAAAGTCACATCCTTATCTCAGATTCATTCAACCTTCATTTATACAGGTGAGTCTCATTGAGCCTCAAGGACTCGTGTACAAGAGAGACCTGATTTAGACAAAGAACACAGTTTACGTACAGCCAACAATAGACAATCATATAAAAGAATATAAAATGAAACGTAAATAATTTATATGAAAACAAAACAAAAAACAAGCTGCATTATAAAGCGATGTAGAAAATTAAAAACAGGACATGTCTGTGTTGGTTTTTGCCATGAACTTAACAGTTGTTTGAAATACCTTAGGTCAAGGTCAAGAGCTTCAGATCTTTTTGTAAGATATTCCAGGAAGCAGGAGCGGAGTAGGAGAAGGCCCTTTTGCCTAGTTCAGTCCTCACTGAGGGAACACTGCAGGTAATAATGTCCTTAGAGCGCACGCTGTAGCTGCACTGATGAAGTGACATGTAGGAGGAGATAAATGAAGGCGGTAAACCAAGAAGTGATTTAAAGATGAAAATGTATCAGTGTGTGAGTCTGTGTGAAGTTAATGATGTCCAGTTAACCCGTGAATACAGGGTGCAGTGGTGGGTACGGTAGTCACAGCCACTTATGAATCGTGGCGCACTGTGATAGACAGCATCCAACATCTGCAGGGTGCTTGTAGGGGCCTTCATGTAAATAATGTCACTGCAGTCAATAGAGGGAAGGAAAGTTGCAGTTACAAGGTGTTTCCTAGCATTCAAGTAGTAAGACGAGATCTATTTCTGAAAAATAAACCCAGTTTTACTTTCAATTTCTTTACCACGTTTTCAACATGTGGCTTAAAAGAGAGATGTGAATCCACCAAGATACTCACATATTTATACGCTGGTGAAGATTCTCAGATTCCAAATATTTATAAGAATCAACAAACTCCTCAATAGGGACACTATTCGTAGATAAGATAGAAGGGAGGACTGCTGGTACCGACTTCCTGTTTGAAAACAACATCCCTTTGGTTTAGCACCAGTTTGAAACGGAACAAATCTGACTGGATGATGTCGAATGCAGATTGTAAAAACTGGATAACCTTATTTTGATTCTTATTTTTCCATCACCTTTTACTAAAGAAGTGTATTATTTTTTGTCACCTGATCATGCCTCATCCAATTTTTGGAGTCTGTTGCAAACTGCATTAGTGGTGTGTGGTAAAACAGCAGGCAGAGCAATGTTCAGATATGCAGCTCAGATGCTGTTCTGCTAACATCTATGAATGAAATCTACCTCAAGAAGATAGTTATTGAAAATGATACGTGAGATCCAAAAATCACAATTGCATTGTGTATAATTGACTTACAAGAAAAAACATTTTTTAATGACATTCATGTTGTAAAGTTATTTACTCTTTAGCAACACCTTCTGTTTAAGAGAAAGTTGCAGAGTGTAGCTTGTCAGCGCAATAAAACTGATTTATACTGTGCAAGACATCAAGAGTTCTGTTCGCATTGTCGCATTTGTGTGGCAACAATTACGTCATTTTGATTTTGCAAGCTTTGCAAGAACTTGTCCTTGTCATAATTTTGCAGGTGTGTTTCTACGGACCCAAAAGTGGCTGAACTGCACTTTTCTCATTTTGTTTCAGCTGCTTCACTGAGGATTTTTTTTTTCATTCATTCAACCTTTATTTAGACAGGTAAATCCCATTGAGCCTCAAGGACTCATTTACAAGAGAGACCTGATTTCAACAAAGAATGATGACAACAATAGACCGGTATAAAAAGGCATACAGATTTTTTTATTTTTTTACAAATAAGATGGCAAAAAGAGTAACAAAAACATCTAGATTATAAGGCGAATGCGGAAAACCAAAAACAGGAACATGTCTGCATTAGTCCCTGCCAGGAGTCCAACAGATTTTTAAAGCCACTTAGAGAGGTCAAGGTTAGAGGGACGAGGTTGTTAAAAGTAGTCATCTTTACAACTGTTCTAGCAAAACTGAGAAAATGGCCAAATACATCTTATGAAGAAGAACTTCAGGAGATATCATACTGTTTGTGCACAGAGGAAACGGTACAGAGACACAGTCAGCTGTCCATGGCTGTTCTGGACAGGAGGGAGTGCACCATGTCCATGGAGTATAGAGGCACATTCTCTGTTTGATTTTCATTGTGCATTGGAGTCTACTGTTTGAAAAGCAGTAATAACATTTTCATATTGCTTAGACTGATATGGTCCCCCATTTTACAAGTGTAAAACCAGTTTCTTGGAATTCCACAGCAGGCTGGCTTGATACACGTCAATAAGGTGGTATTTATATGACAGATTTTGTTGGCAAGCCTCAGATTGATTATCTTTCGGATGAATGAGGAAAAGTTTCTGTCAGGATGGTTCCATCTTGTGGTCACCCTAGTAGCTAGTTTCACCTGCAGGTTCTGTCCAGGTGTTTGTTGGTTGTCTCGTTAGTCACTGTATGTCTGTGTCATTGTGTTATTTGTTGGCTGGGCATCATCTGGTAAACCCTCCTGAGTTCCTATGTTTTCCTGTGTTCCTACGTG